GTCCTTCCGAAGCGGGCGACGGGATTTCGATTCCGGCGACCGACAGCTTCTTACGGGCGACCCCCCAACCATTAAACTCTTTTCCCCTTTTAAGCGCCGACAGTATGTAAATGCCTAATTTTAAAAAATCCGGCTTGCTCCAACTTCTCTCCATTTGGTTTTGTGACTTTTGTCCCACATCATCAGATTGAGAAAAACTCTATCATTGATCCTCTATAAAATCAAAAAAAAAGTGAGATAGCTTTAAGTTTTCAGCTTCACTTAAGCACTATATTGATTTTTTGTGAAGCAAAAATTAATTTATTTTCAGTTCAATTGAAAAGATTTAAATAAAAAAAGTAATTTCTGAAATTTTAGTTCGACCTGAAATTCGAGTTGAACACAAGCTTAATTCGAACAAATGAGTTTGAATGGAGCCAAACATGAACAAATAATTCACAAACTATTTTGAGCACGAGCTAAACACAAACAAAAGATAATTTAAACGAGCCGAATACAAATATGCCACGGGCTTGCTCGAGTTAAGCTTGTTTACACCCCTACTCCAAACAGAATATCTGAAGGAAGACTACACCAAAAACTAACCTAAAGTCTGAAACAAGCATATAAGTAGACTCCAACCAAGAAAAAATAGAAACGGAAGTAGGAGGGTTTGGCGGTATTGTTCTAAAATGCTGCTCGATTGAGCGTGACGCAGAAAAGGCAGGGAGAGAGGTGCGGGAAGTTGCTCGCCCTGTCATGGATCTCGCCCGGGCTGCTCACCTGGATTCCTTTGGGCCGGTCTTCAACAGACCAATCGGGGTCAGTGCGGGAAATCACGCTCCCATGTCCACATTGGGAAGCTCCACTTTAGTTGCACTCAACAAGGATACATGGAGATTGAGGATTCATTAAAGCGGTATGATGATACGTGTGGAAGAGTTACTTGCTATTCTCATTATGCTTTTCCATATTTCATACTTTCAAAAGCGCTTTTAATACTAGAGATAAACCCCCACCTACTCTATTGAAGGGTTTGATTTGATTAATTTATGCTTTGTGCTGAAATTCCATTTATTGAAAAATATTTAGATGGAATTTCTCAATGATCATTAAAATGTCGAGCAAAGCATAAACAGAAGTTACCATCCTGCTCTGCCACTTGAAAAAAATCCTAAAGAACTATATTGGCTTGAACTTATGAAAAATATTTGCTCAACATATTAAAATATTTGTCATTTAAAAAAAGGGCACTTCAATTATTCACAATGTATTTTCCCAAATAGTTAATAATGGCTATTATCTTGATATCAGGCATTGCTGAATATCCATATTTAATCTTTTCACTTTCAATTATCTGTTAAAAAATAATTTGAGTAGCACAAGAATTGTAGCGAGTGAATACTCATTAGAAATGTTATAATGGGTTCAACTTGCCATTTCATTAATCTACTTGTGCAATTAGGATGGTTCAATTGATCTCCATTTTATTGTTGGAAATAGTTAAAAATGTTTTCTAATTAGTCATTAATTTATTTAATATATTTGACTCATTCATTATAATATTAAATAATATATTTAACAATTGATCAAAGAGAAACTTTTTTTTATATAGGAGACAAAATTGCAAAGACAGGAATTGTCTGTGGATGTTACCATGGCAGAGGGGTATGAGGCTTTTGTATCTTGCACTCGGACATCCATCAAAGGGCGCCTCGGTTATTCTGGTATGCTACTTGTATTGTGAATTGCAACTATATGATATGACTAGCTTATATTTTGTGTCCATCTTCTTATATTATTGCTACTATGACTTAGGATGGTGATAAGCTTGGCGATCTATAGAAAAATCTATCTGCTGGCTATTGTTTAGAATAAGTTGTTGCACAATTTGTTAAACCATGACAACTTGGGGTGTATGTTGGTATAATCAACATGATTAGTTACGATAAGCTATAAAAAAGGGAACCAAAATATTGGCATGTATTTAGGTTTTTTTCTTAACAGGAAGCACTTTTATCAATTTTAGGCTACCACTAGAGTCTAGTACCATCTTTTTTATGTTTCATCTTTGACAAATTCTTAACCTATTTTTTTAATTTATTTTTGTTTGGTTGCCCGACTTTGACTGACTGATATCTCTTTTTTCATTTATAGTCCATCCTTTCTTATTTATCTAAGTACTGTATGGTACTTTTGCTTAGAAATGTAATGGAATGCACTTAAAGGGAGGGCTTGGAGTATCATTCAAATTTTAGTCTGTTGAGAATAACTTGCGAAGCACTTATGTTTTTTAGCAAATATGTAAATTTCATTTATTAGATTATCATCTCTCCATTTGGCGGATCAATTATGTGGCCGTAACATCACACTAAGGATTTACTCTAGTTACTATGAGATTTCATCCATGATCCGATTTTCATTTTGACTAGGGTATGAAACTCAAGCTGGCAAAAGGTAAAAATGCTTCTAGTTGTTACTATTTTTTTTGATCATTTATATCTTGGACAGTTTATGTTGTTATATTATTGTGTTTATACATTTGGATCATGAAGTATGTGAGATATTGAAAGTTGGGCAGTCGAAAAAGCTCGTTTGCGAGCAACTTGTGTTTGGCTTGTTAAGTAGCTCGTGTTCGAATTGTTCGATAAGTAAGGCGAATATGAACATATTTTTTAAGCTCGAATTATAAATAAGTCAAACACGAACAACCTTTTGTTCTATCGCATGCCTCGTTTTAGCTCGAAATAAGAAAATTATACGTATTATTTATATAGTACTATATTATATACCTTTAAATCTAATTTTAAATCATAACAGATCATTTGGTCATGTAATTATGCGCTTTTTATTGCACAAAAATGGTGTGGGTTCAAATCCAACACACTACATCTATTTTGCTAATTATTTTAAATGGACCAATTTCGAGTCGAATACGGGCTGAACACGAACAATAATATTTAAATCGAGCCACCATAAACACACTATTCACAAGTAATTTTGAACATGAGCCACTTTCAAGCATAGTTAATTTTGAACAATTCGAACACGGGCGACGCCTGAGCTTGCTCAAGCTCGACCCGTTCACAACCCTAATTGAAAGTATTTTCACATTTTTGAAAACATTTGGCTTATATCCCTCTCATGTTAATTTTTTTTACCAAAGTTAATTTTTTTATCACACCATTATTTAAGGGAAAATTATATAAATCACACTTATATAACAAGTCCAACCCCTTTCTCTTTCTCTCAAACCACTCTCTCTTTTCTCTCCAGTCCCCGCTTTCTTAAAGCGCCCCTAATCTGTTAGAGTGATTGATCTTATAGAGAGAAATCTTCAATAATTCATAAAATAGGTAATCATACATCGTAGCAATCATTTATTGTAGTTACATGAAAAACATTACTTATAGGACTCTCCATTTGGAAAAGATTAATAATGAGAATTCATACTTGTTAATAATGCATGAATCTAATAATGAAAAACAAAATTAATGATTAAAAAAAACACTCTAAAATGACAAAATACGTATGCCATGATATGACTGGCAAGTTCTTAAATGGGTCTAGTTGTTGTTTCGAGCCCCTAAACTACAAGAACTCTCCTCTGGAAAGTTGAGATCTTAAAATCATGAAGTAGGAACAGATGGCTTGGCTCATAGGCTGCTTTTAAGTGTTACACTCAACCCATAACGACGTATGTGAAAAAACACATAATGCTGGAGGTGTATAAACACGATAAAAGATTTCTGATATCTAAGATTTTAATGCTCATGTTAACTAGCAAATTACATGTAAATGAAACAGGCCATACCTCACTAGTTAGTTTGTGTGATTTTGAGATTAGATTATAGAGTACCTGGTAATAGTTGTATCAGAACTAAGCAGAAGTTTTATGAACTATAATATGACAGCCTTAATCTTAACCAAATCAGTGCGTTGAATAACAATATTAACTTTTACACTTTCACCTTACATAGCAATGTTTATCCAGAACTTATTGTGGACATTATGTATATGATGAATCAAAGATGCAATTGATAATGGTGGCAGCAGTGTAACTAAGCCAAGCCGACTCGTGAGCCTGCTTTTGCTCTGCTTGACAAGTGGCTCGTGAGTTGAGCTTGACGAGCTAATAAGCCAATATCATGCCTATCCCAACTTGACTCGTTAGCTCATCAGCCGGCTTGTTTAAATAACTATTAATATTAAATATTCTTAAAATATATTAAAATTTGAGAGTTTATATTTAAATTATTAAAAATATATAAAGATTGATATTTTACGTTTTATGTCAAGTGATTTTTTATTATTTATCTCTTAGTTTCTCATTCTTGTTGTCATTTTATTATAATACCAGCTTAAATTAATATTAGTTTCTCTCTTTTATAATAAACAAGTCGGTTATAACTTATAGACTTAAGCTCAAGCTCGAGCTTCGTTAATTAATCAAGCTCAAGATGAGGTGGAGGGTGGCTCGAGCTCGAGTCGACTCGTTTACACCCCTAAATGGTACATTCATGAGTCGTGCAACGTATTTTAAAGGATGTTTAATGGGCAGATCAGTCATGGCTACAATGGAGACTGACTGATCTGTCATCCTGATAATGGGAGAATTTTAACAGCCTCAACTTCTGGCGAAGTTTTTGTTTAGGGGCTACTTAGATATTTAGCAGGTAATAGATGTTTTTATTAAAAAAATGATTATTATCACGTTTTGCCATACTAGATTAATCTATTTGTTCATATAGTTCAGTAAGCTTTTCATCATATAATATAGAATTATACGGTATGACGTAGGTGGAAATTGAAAATGTGAAATTGTTAATAGTTTAGTAACTTTTCAGATTTAATTTAATATTCAGTCTGAGTGTTTCAATATAACTGGTCTGATGCAGTGGGAACACTAACTGCAAAATGATGATGTTGTTGGCCAGGTACCAATTTGGCAAAATTTGACAGAACTAGCTGTGTTGATCTTTTTTTTTTTTGAAAGTATGCGTTGATCTTGTTGTTTATAGGCTCAGTGCAACCAGGAAACTGAAATCTATTCTTTGAAATAAACAGTCAAAATTGTGTTTATCAATATTTATCAGTGCCTTCCTTGCTAGCAAATCAATAGTGAGTTTGTCGAATCAAAAGATGTTACTTATAATATTTCATGTTGATCTTTCACACGAAAATTTGAAAAATCATGTATCACCTTTATCCAGATTAAAATTTCATTGTAGAACTGCCTATATATCCAAGCATTGAACTGATGCTCTGGTGGCTTCCTGAACTTGCCACTTCTGTCAGCCTTACAGCTCTACCTTCATCTCAGTTGGTCATTTTACCCCGGGGTAAAACCATCTCATAAGCTTTTGCACAAAACTCTGTTTCAGATGCACTAATTCTTATAAGCTTTTGCACATGATGGCTTTCATCCATTTTGGATAAACATAATTAATAACCAAAGTATTCCTAAATTCACCATAACCTAACCTATAAGCAGGCTCTAATCATTTTATTTAGGGGATTCACTTTTGAAATTTTGGGAAACTTAAGGATTTACTTTTGCAAAAATTCTCTCCGGCAAACAACTAATAATGATGACGGTGAGTTTCTGATGCACTAATTCTTCTTTATTCTATAAAGTACGCGCTGTTATGCAGTCATCATGTATTTGGAGAAAGTAATGCCTGCAATGTATTTATGCTTGAACTAAGTTATTACTCGACCTGCTTTTAATGACTTGAGAGTTGAGGCTATAGGTGTTGCAACATTTTGCCGTGTTAGCTCAGCATTCTCCACAAAAGAGGTGGCATTACCAGTTGCAGCTGAGGAAGGCTTCACTGGCCTTCTTGAATCTTTAAAAAAGCAGGAAACTGTCGTAAGGGATCTCTTTATTGAGAAGATTTTGGATGAGGAGGGTTTTGAGCAAATGACAAAGGAGGATCTATTAAAAGTGGATAGTGAGGGAAGATGCATCATCACTGATCATGGCCATTTCGGTAAGCTTCTTTATAAAAAAAAAACAGTTTATATTAAGTTTACATTGGAATATTTTACATTTATGGTTTTTTCTGCTGTTTGTTTTTTTTTATTTTTTATTATATGTTTATCGTGTCTTATGATTAGTTATGATTTCAAGCTTACATGTACTATAAAATAACTGTTTCTGATTTGACCATGTTTGTATACTAATAAATGGTATTTGTGCAGTGCTTTTTAATTTATATGGCCCTCGAGCTGATGGAGATGATAAGGAAAGAACCCATTTCAAGTTTCTATTCTATAAGTTGTTACAGGTAATACTGTTTTTTCTCACGTACTTTTTTATTCATATACTCTGCTTGTATCAATAATGTACTTTTGTAGATCTCAAGAACGTGCAACAAGAAGTGCAAGAGCTTACTAGTTATTAGGCTGAGTCTATCGTCTAGAGGTTGTTTGAAATTGCCTAGATGAATATTGTAATGGATGGCTGGAATCATTCAGACACCTTACCAACGTTGCAACACGGTTGTTGATAATTAGCACAATCTCGTCCCACTCCCTTAACATTAGATGATACAATTTTGCTTGACTTTCAAGAATATATAATGATTCATATTGCTTGAAATTATTTTAAGAAAACATTAGTTGAAAGTTGTTTCATGATAGTTATTGACTCATTGTGATATTATATAATTTGTCATGTTATTCCATATTCTTCTCCATTTCAAAATCCTATAGAGTGACAATTCTTTTAGAAAGCAGTAGAATATTGCTTTAACCTGGATTGTTGATAGGTTACGTTTAATATTTAAATAAGCAGATGTATTAAAATTCTGGTCTAATTTTGGTTCGACAAGTTTGTAACCTAATTAATTAGTGCTTGACCTAAACTTAGAGTGTTAACAGATGAGTAGTAACACTTGTAAACTGAAGGCGCTTGTCAACTGATTAGCGTGAATGCGGTACAATTATTAAAGGGATTGAAGTGTTTGGTTGTGGCAACTAATTGTTTTATTTCTAGATGATAACTTGTCATTAAGTCAATCTGTTGTTTTAATTTGGTGGCATTTGGATTTGTGATTATCATGCTATAATTGGGGTTTCCTTGCATTGACATGTAACCTGAGTCTAGAATATTCTTTTGGGTTATAATTGGTCACACTAAAAGTGGCTGAAGTGTACTTCAATCCTTGTATATTATTTTTGGTTTGACGGCTGATTGTTTATGAGTTGCTTCTCTTGCAGAAATGAAGGAAGCTTATTGTTAGATAGTTTACAGTGATGGTTAGTAATGCACCTACGTATTTTTTATGAAGCGCCATAATTGAACATAATAACAATGAAAACAAGCTTGTAGTAGTAAAACTAATCAATTAATGTACCTCATCAAATTTTGCTTTGCTATTTTTGGTTAAGTTTATCCAATCAAAATCCAATGTAGAGAGACAACATCCTCTTTCTGATACTAGTAAGAGGAATGAGTAAATCATACCTGCATGACATGAATAGCTTCTTGTAACATGTTTTCCGTTGTACTTAACGTGCACAAATGGTATGCTCACATAATTAGCAAACTTTCACTTAACGTTCTACATGTTTTCCGTTCATTTGAAATTTCAGTAACTACTTGGTTGAGTGGTGTTGCGTTACATCTTTTGAGTAGAGATCTAAAGTCTAAACATTTTCAACAACTACAAAAAAAAATAAAAAAAGAAGAAAAAAAGGGACCCTTCAATTATATGCTTTCAAAGTAGATGCAAAAAGCAGTAAGACACTTGCAAATGAATCTTAAATCCAATGTATAAACAACACCTAGTAAAAGGTTTCCTTTATGTAATTAATGGATGCCATTCAACAAGAAAAATGATAATCATAATCACTATGATGTTATTAGACAATTGCACAAGTGCAAGTTAACAACTCTTAGGTGCTCTTGCACAAGGCATCAGTAAATGTACACCTAATTGAGCGACATTCCTATATGTACTCCCAGTTAGTTTCGCTTCCACTAACCATTATAAAAGTATGATTCTTAAGATCAATATTTGTGACCAAATAGTGTCAGTTTGGACTTGCTAATTCCCGAAGAGGAATCATGCTAGTGTTTGTCTGGATCTACACGAATGATCTGGGAATGCTAAACCGCCCAACAACTTAAAATTGCTATTTGCATGAGTTTATGTGCTAAAAGGTAAGTATAATGAGAAGTTTCAATAGGAATTCACAGCCTCGTAACTTTCTTATAGTGTTAATCTCTTTTGCACATCCTATCTGATGGAATGGCTGAAGCGGGGGTATGTGTGACAGATGCAGAACTAAGTGGATGTGCACCTGCATACTTGGACCAAACCAGTTCAGGCTTTTATTTTTTATTGTTGTGGAGTTGGCTGGTCCTCTTAGGCCACTCCTAGTTATTTTATTATTATATATTTTCTTTTATGATGTTTTAGGGTTAGTTTTTTTTGTATTTTGTATTGGGATAATCATCAACGTGTCTTCTTCCGTTTTAGGGCTATATCATAGGGTTCTAAGTAGTACTTCTGCTATATCTTTGTCTCCAGGTGGTGTTTATATTCCCTATTCCTCTTTCGCATCCCTCCCGCATCAGTGCCATGCATTTCATCTCGTTGTAGGCTGCTTCTTTAACAACCCTTTTGTTGTTTTCGTGCAAATTTCCTCTGTCCAGCCCCTCTTCACCGCCATTGCTGTTCTAGCCCTCCCCTTTCACCGCCGTTGCCGCTGGTCAACCCTTCATCTTTGCCGCCGCCATCATTTTAGCCCTCCATTCTTATCGCCATCACCCTGAACAACCCTCCCGCATCGTTCCTTACTGCTTGCTTGCTATATATCAGACACCGGCGAAACAAGCACATTGTTGTTTTTGGCTTGCCAACCGCATTTTCCACCCCCATCTCATCTTCCAAATCCTTGCCGACCACCACCACCAACCAAAGATTCACTATAATCTGAGTTGGTGTTGTCATTTGTCGCTATTTCCTATTTCAACGTGTCGTGTCTTATTTGTTGCTATTTCTTATTTCAGTTTGTGTGGTCACAATTCCTTATTTTGAATTTAGCAATAATATTTGATTTTCCTATTGTTGTTTGGATTAACTCCAATATCATTTAGTATCAGAGCTAGCCTAACCCTAGTTTTTTTTGTGTTTTTATCATCCACCAATACCCATCCCCATCTTCGATCAACACCCTTCCCTTTTGCTAATTTTTTCCAAACCGGTCACCCAAAAATTTTTTTCTCACCATACATCATTCTTATACACCTTCTTCCACCCACCCAAACCTAAATTCCAATCACACCATCGAAGAGATAATTCTTAGAGATATGCTCTGGAGGAGATGCAATAATGCTCTTTTCGAGAAATTTGCAAAGAGATGTCCGGGAACCTTCTATAGAGGAAGTGCGCGGGACATCCTCAAACTGCAAATCTGCAACAGAGGCTTACCACCTTTGAGAGGAGGTAATTTGGAAAGGTCACTTGTAGCCACAATAGTGACTGGACAGATTGAAAGTATATACTGAATCTCTTACACTAGGCTGATTTTAGAGATGAAAAACTACAAACTCAACGATTTTATCATGAAATATAAGTGAATTCAGGATTTTGATGTAAAAGTTGATTTGTCATATTTTAACAGCCACATAGATCCAGACGTGTACGTTGAGTAGCACTCGATAGCGGAATGCGCCTTTCAATGTCAGGACGTCCCATCAGACGGAATGGTGAAACTAGTTACTAGTAATTTAAGTACATGTACATCTTTTTAGCTGGAGAACTTGAAGATTTTTTTAGCTGTAGGTTGGTGGGAGGCCGTAGGGTGTGGTTTGAGAGGATGATCGTAACATAGGGCTGCAGGAAAAGGTGACGACGTGGTTCTGTGTTTCTAGTGAGTGGTTGGTCAATAGCGATGGCTGTGGGGAAAGGGGTGTCGGGAATGATAGGGACAACAAGGATGAGAAGGGATGGCCGACAACTAAAGGAGGTGAAAGAGAAGTGGTAGGGAGGAAGATAGGAGATGATACAACGCCACCTCAGAGCGGGATACAACCAAAACACTACCCGCCATCTGATACAACCCTAAAAAGGGAAAATGCGACTCCCACGGACAATATGAAAACAACAATGAAACATAATGTAACCCTAATATCAAAAAATAACATATATATATAAGATGCTGCACAGAAAAGGAAAGATCGGGGAAGGGTTGGCGGCATTGCCACCCTTCAAATTTTGCCTCCCGGTCCAGTTGGGTCTGAACCGGGACTCCTTGGACTGGTCGAATCAGTTTCCTTGCCAGCCAGTTTAACCGACTGACTCCTAACCCCGCGTCAATTCTTTTATGAAATCTTTCTTCCATTAACTCATCTTTTTCTCGGAAACCTTGAGACAAACATAATAATAGGTTTCAAGTTTTAGATAGGGTGTAAATAAGCTAAGCGAGCCCAATGTTTGTTTGTATTTGGTTCGTTTAAAAATTTATTTATTCAAAATCGTTATGTGTTCAAAATGACTTGTGAATAACATATTTGTGCTTGACTTTATTCAAATTTGTTTGATAGTTTATAGCTTCTGTTTGGCTCAAATTTTACTAGAATGATTTTAAAAATAGTGAATTTTATTATTTTTTAAACTAAAGCTTAAAAATAAAATAAATATTATTTATTTAGTTTTTTAAATTAATTCAAGCCAAAACAAATCGAATAAATATAATCGAACAAAGGTCTGTTCGTGTTGGACTTTATCATAAATCAAATTCAAAATAAACATTTGTGTTTGACTTGTTTGCTTCACGAATGAATCAAACATAAACTATTTAGTAAGCTGAATACAAGATATTCTTAAACAGTGAGGTTTTTTTGACAGTTCTAATTTTGTTGTTCTTATGATTTTGCCTATTTTCATATGAAGAGATTAATTAATAAATTAAAAATTGTATTTGAATTGCATCTCAAATAAAGTTATGCTAACTAAATTCACCACATAACAAATAACATCACCACTTTTATTGTATCAAAATATTCTTTTTTCCTAGATCATTGAGTAGCAAGTGTTAACATTTCTTATCATCATTATGTTGGTATCTGTTTATTCCTTAGTTGCATGCCGTATTAAACATGAAAAGTATAGCAATGATGACCCTCATAAAGATTGACACTAGCGTGTACAGAATTAGGCTCAAGTCCTTTATCTCCAGCTTTCAACAGCTTCTTGGTAAAGCCTTGCTTTGAACTTTTGAAGAAAGAAAAGAGATGTTTTGATATCGCACATCTTTGCATGGTTTGCTGTGTCGGTAGCAACACTTAAATTAGGGAACTTGAGGCTAAGTGTCATATTTTCTCCATTTTATTAATTATTTTTGAAATTTAAAGGGAGTGCTGATTTTAATAGCTTGAACAAGTTGTACTGAGATATTTCTTCTGTAGAGAAGATGGGAATCTCTTCTGGCTCATGGGAGGAGAGTTGTTGTTGTTGGCGACCTTAACATTGCTCCTTTTGCTATAGACAGATGTGATGCCGAGGCAGAATTTGAGAAAAACACGTAAGTCTTTGGAAATATACTTTTATTAAGTTTGGAGAATTTCTGATTGGTAGCTATACTTTAACTTTGGGATGTTTGATACTTCAATATTGATTTTTCATATCATTGTGTATGTGAATGTTCATTAACAGGAGTTTTTGTTGTTAACATGATTATAGTCGACATTTATTATCATTATTATTAGCCTTATTCTACGATTGACTTGGTAAACCTTGTTATTTTGAAATGGCTCATGAGATGTGAAGTGCTTGGTGAGTTACCTTTATTTGCAACTTTATGCGTCTTTAATTCATTCCTACAAGTGTTTGATAAATTTTTTAATGGTTGATGAGGTGCTAAATATGTGTAAAAATCTGCTTGCATAACTTTTAGATATGTCATGTTTGGTCCTCCTTTTTTTGTCTTAATCCCTTTATGTCTTATGGTAACTTTTTGTCCTCCCATTTTATATGCCCAAATCATAAGTCTGTTTCTAGACCTTATCCTTAATAGGCATTGTTATTAAATGTCAATCCCTTTAATATATGGTCTTTTCTTAGTTTTTTTTTATTTTTTTTATTTTTATAATCTTGGCATTCTTATCTTTTTTACACGTAGTTTGGCTATTAATTTTATCACCCAACATGTCATAATTATTTTAATTGTAATTTTATAATATTTATCACTAAATATTTGTAATATTCCTCATCTCAGGGTTCTTTTCATGAACACTTCTCCATATTCAGTCAATTTTAACTAAAGAAGTTATATCAAAATCTATATCTTTTTTATACTGTATAATAAATTGAACTCATATCCATCACATTTACTATTTTTATATTATTGATTTATAGTTATTGGTTTCATATCCCTTAAAATTGCATGTACTGTTCGTAGTCAAAATTTTATTAATTTTAAATTTATTCTTCAAAACTTTTTTTTAAACTTATTTTTGGGGGACTTTTCAGCTAACCATGTCCTTGGTTAAGTTTTAATATGCCATTTATCAGCAGTACCTTAGCAAACCTTTGCCTACTTCTCACCCCAATAGGTTTAGTTTGTGACGTTTACTTTTGAGAAGTGCTTTAGCATCTCCAATGAACTTTGAAATTTGATTTTTTTAAGTATCTTGCTATAAATTTAATGATTCATGCTGACTTAGCAAAAACTGATGGTGTTACAATCTAAAACTTGTAGAAAGTAGGGATATTTTCATCACATTTTCCAACTGTCCTTATTTTATATGATTAATGACATTACAACATAAATAAATAAATAAAATAATAAAAAAACTCAAATGACATAATAACACACATAATGATGTTTTTTCCACTCCAATTATCAGAATTTTTGGTTTGGAACTAGATTGAATATTAGTCTAGACAAACACTTGTAAATGTATATTGTGCAATTTATACTGTATCAACTCACTTTTGATTGAAAGAAATCATTATGCAAAGAGTTGAAAGCTCGAGAGCATGGTTGTGTTGAGGCAATGAAATTGTCACATGGCCATGTCATTGGCAGGACTACAAATGAACCTATACTCTCGGCAAGTTACGTGCAACTCAGTTTAGTTAGGGTTCATTTATGATCGTTTAACTAAATAATTATAACATTTTAATAAATATTTAATTTGTAAGTGAGGAAACTTAAACAAATTTGTGTTTGACTTGTTTATGATAAAAATAGTATCATTTAAAGGTCTTGAACAAGCTCATTAAAAAGCTTGAGCAATGTTCACTAGTTTGCTTAATTAATATTTGCTTACAAATTTATTTAATATGTGATTTTGTGGGTTTCTTATTTTTTTCTATGTTTGAGTTGTTTTATTCATGAACACAAGCTACTTTCTCATGAAGATGCTTATTTAATTTGTACTTCATTCAATTATAGTTTCATTTTTAAGCTCAATAGACCGCTCTTTAATAAGCTAGATAAAACTTGTTTAATTAACTACCTAGTTTAAAAACATTGCTTATTAATATGTTTGATAAGACTCGTTTGGTTAGTTGATGAGTTGAACTCAAACGACCATAATTTTAACTAAGTTTAGTTTAATCACAAGTACAATTACTTGAATTTTGAGCTCAAGCTCGAGGAGGGTTTTGGTAAATTAGCTCAAGCTCTACTTGACTCATTTCAATTTATTTCCCGCTCTAGTGATGAGGCAGCATTAGAGATAAATTGTACAACTCTTGAAGGATTTGGGAGCTTCAACTTTACGCGTGAACTGATGGAAGGATTTAAGGGCTTCAGCTTTGGGCATGACCATTAGCCATTTAATTGTATTAGATCAAAAATTTGTATCTCCTTCTCATGTTAATAGGCGAGATCTGTTCCAGTTCAACTTCATGCTCCAGCACAATCTCATACTTCAAAATCAAACTTAGGCACTAACAAAGCATTTTATCACTTGTCAAAATTTCCTGGTTGGTTAGCATGTCTCCAAATAAAATGCTTGATGAGCTCTAATAAGAGTGTTGGGTCTGAATTTAGATCGAATACCGGTTTAGATGGATGCATCTAGAATTGTAAATTGCATCATTAATTGTCATCCATTCTTAATTTTTTTTAGGAACATTGATGATGATTTTAACCTGGTCTTGGTAATATGCAACTCTTGGTGACGCAGGGGCTAGGAGGATCGTCTGGTCCTCAAAGAGAGGGGGGGCTGCCATTGCTCCTTTTCCATTAGAATTTCTGAAAATTTTTATTTTTCTTTCCTTAATCTGAATTTCCATTAATATCACTTTCCTAAACTGAATTTTAAATCAAAATTTTTGAATACTTTATTCCTCTTTCCTAAATCTAAATTTTCATTATAATCCATTTCCAAAACTGAATTTCCAAATCAAAATTTTTGAATATTTTATTCCTTTTTCCTAAATTTGAAATCCCGATTTGATTTTTCTTTCTTATTTTAATTATTGCCTAAAATAAAGTCCTAGTCTCATTATAAATAAATGATGATGTGTTTAGAATTAGGAGTTTTGTTTTTGATATCTGAAATCAAGTTTTAGCTTTGGTATTTTTTCCTTCAAGGTATGTATCCGACGTCGAGGTAGTGCTCCGGCTGTCCCTCGTCCGAGGTGGTGATTGTCTCCACTGGTCCGGGTGGTGCTTCGATGGTAGAGCGACAAGATATTTATCTATCCTTCCACCCTTCCCGCTGCTGTCCACCCGCTTCCCAGCCCTACAACAGACCACCACACCTCTTCCCCATCAACCGTCGGCTGCTGTCCTCACTCCAACCTACTGCAGCCTTCTCCCAACAAGGTTGCATCTCCCTACTCCATCCCAGCACTCAGCCGCCCTTCTTGAACAACCCAATTTTGTTGTCCACCTGCCTAGAATTCCTCCCAACAATCAGTCAACTCACTTCCAACAGTCTGCCTTGCTGTCCAGGCCTTTCCCATTGCCGTCAGTGCTTCCCCGCTCGCTGTCCACCCTCCTAAAGTGCTGAAGAGCCTTACCCGTTGCTGCCCCACATTTCCAAATTGCTCCCCACCTTCCAAGCTACCTCCCAGCTACCCAACAAAGTTTCCTGTCACCTTAACCCGCTGCCTCCCTTCTCCAATTCACCTTCCAACCCCGGCCGACCCCTCTCCGACATTCACACTTGCTATCCCCAAGCCTCCGGATCCACTGTTCCAACCTCCACCGCCCTTGGGATACACTTTCGAGGTGTTGGCTTGTGTTTTTGTATATGTTTGTCTTTTATTTCATATTTTGAAGAGTTGTTGTAACCAATTTCAAATTTAGTATTGATATTGTGTTTGTTTTATGGTTTGGGCTTTCTCCTCCGGTATCACTTGGTCTACAATCTTTGCGAAAAATACAAAATAATTTTGTTGCATTGGTCTTTCTTATTTTATGATGTATCTGAGTTGGAATCTGAATGTGATTCTTATTGGGGGTTTTATATGTTTGGGGTGGTTAGTCAGCAGTCAACAAAAAGTATATGAAGCATCTACATACATACCACCCAATTCTATGTATTTACATATCTAACTCCTGAACTTTACTTTTTTCCTTCTAGAAACCTATATCTTTTGTCACATAAAAAATATCGATATTTTATCTTTTAGAAATTGAAATACACTTTTTCATACATAGGTAAGGTGGCATACATCTAACAATTGAAGTTTAGGTGTTATATATGCAAATACGGAGGAACTAAGTGGTGTGTGTTAATCTTTCAAAATATATATGGTTATTAGTTATTACTATTGTGTCTGATATGTCCATCAGTCTTTCCTTATTTTGGAAAATATCTTATAGTATGATCAGGCACATGAACCTTTCTGTAGTGTCTTGATTTGAGTGTAAGGTACAATACCTCACTAGGGAAATCAGAAGTTACATAATTTTTACATACAAGCTAAACTAAAGCTTTTTGTTATGAGTTCACAATATACAAGGTACAATGGACCTACAGCATGGTTACATGTTTTGACAGTTGAGCTTAATTCACTAATTTCATTTGTATTTTGGTTATCTTCTTATTATTCCATTTTTTTCTTATAATTTTCCGTTTCATATTTTCTTACTATTGCTTAATTAATATTTTGAAATTCTTTGCAAACCACTCCACTAAATGTTTTTTAGAATACATGTTTGATGAGCTTTATAAGTTGACCCATTGTTGTGCCAATTCACTCTCGACGTCTTTTGCTTTTATGCTTCTCTCATATCAAGTTTTCTTCTAACCATTTGTGCTCACTTAATAAACCTTGAGGAAGCTTTAAGTTGGTTCACTTGGCTTTTGGAACCTTTACAATTTCTTTATTGTTATGTTGCTATACATACATTGATTTATAGAATATTTCTTGGTATCGAGGTATATTAACTTGGCAAGTTACGGTTGTGCAAAATGCTTCCTAGTGTAACATTTGCTTTTGATTTTCTGTTAAGTATCTTTTGCTAGAGTTATTATCGCCTTTTGTTATATTTTTACTTCTGTCAGCGTTGACCTTGAGCTTGTAAAAGATGCCGAGGTTGTCCTTGATCTTGTGAAA